CACGTCTTCCAGAGTGCGGCCTTCTTCCTCCAGAAACTGGGCCAGGCGCTCCCGAAATTCCGCCTCCTTGGTGGCGGGCTTGGAAATGACCCTCCACACGCCTCCCGCCAGCCTGACCTCCCGGGGGATGAGCAGGTAGTCGACATCCTCCCCGATCTGAAGCATCCCCACCGTGGAGTCCTCCTCCCTGCGGAACACCTTGCCGATCTTCTTAAAGGTCCCCACGGGCTTCAAGGCTTCCACGAGGACGTCCAAATCCACATCTTTGCAGACATCTGGGATGCTCCAGAGGATCAGGCAGTCGGGGGATGGGAGGAAGCCCCAGGGAAACCAGCCCCCAACATGGCTTTTCTCGAGGGTCTTCAAGATCTCCAGGGTGAAATCTAGAGTGTGGGCAATGAGCCCAAACTACAAGTACCCTTGAGTCTTGGGGAGGCAGGTGGGGTTCCAGCAGTACTGCCCAGAGTCTCACCTCCCCAGAAACCCAGTTTCTCCGCCTGCAACAAGTCCAGTGTTGACCAAATCCGGCCCTCCCCCCAAGGTCTGGTGGGAATCGATTGCCCGGATGCTTACGTGAGCCGGGGTAAGGTCAGTCTGACGCTAAAAGCCCATGGCAAGCTGCAAACGTGGTGTCCGGGCTCCAGGCTGGGGCGTGCGGGTTGCCAGCACACAGCAGGGACGCGCCGGGAACTTGAGAGAGGACTTTGCAGACAAAGGCGCTTCAGCCGTGTCTTTTCAATATGGCCGAGGCGCTTGGAGGCCGCAGCCCAGTCCCCCAGGAGGGTCTCCCGCCCCCAGGCAGGCTGCCGCCCCAGTCCAGGCTGACCTTGACGCGCCTCCGCCTCCCAGCCCGCGCGCTCAGCGCCTCGGAGCTCGCGGGGGCAGGAAGTTCCTCCTCGCCCTCCCCCAGGGTGAGGCCCACCTTCCCCCTTCTCATCTTACACTCCCCAACTCCGAAGACTGACAGGGGGGCTGTCCACTCCCTTCAGGGCGCCCTCCCCCCGCCCACCCAGGGGTGGGGCCGCGCTCCGACCTTGCTGAGGCCCTTGCTTCCCAGCGGAAAGCCCGCACGCGCCCACGTCATCACCTTTCCCAGAGAAACGCAGACGTTCCCAAACCTGCCATCCCAAACGTGCGGTTTCCAGCCAAGCCACGGAGGTGAGCATGCTGATGGAGCAGGCAGTCCTTCAGAAAGCCACTGGCGCTATGTATTACCATTTTGAAACCATGGGGCTTTTGGTACCAGCAGTGCCCACCTATATACCTATACACGCGAATGGAGAAGCTGATACCAGGGGCTTGTTGCACGGACCCCTAGCATGGGGCTTGGCACCCAGTAGGTGCTCATTAAATATTTTTGAGTGAATGAATGACATGATTGTCCATCAGTGGTATGGTTCTTACAGTGAAATATTATGCAGCTATGAAAAATGTGGCTGCAGGATAGTCAAGTTTTATGGAGCACTTGGCATGAACTTAGAAAGCACCAGTCTAAGTGCTTTCTATGAATTAACTCATAATATCCTAACATTAGGAGACAGGAAATATGATGAGCATTCCCATTTTATAGCTGAGGATATGAAATCACTTGCTCAAGGTCACACAGTCAGGAAGTGATGGAATCTGGGAAACAGTGTGTTGTGTGTGTGTGTGTGTAGGCCAAAAGGACTACATGCATACATATACTCCTCACATATACAAGCACTACCAACAGTGGCTACTTCTGGGGAGTAAGTCTGGGAACTCCTAGAGGTGGCAGAGACATGTATTTTTCATTCTATTATCCTTTCAGATACTTAGATTTTTAGCAATCAAAGACGTTAGTTAAAATACACTAAATTAAGCCAAAGATCCACTGACTTGGCCATGGCAGACAGTGGGTCCAGATCTCTGGAACATGGGGACCAGGATTTGCCAAGCTTCCCAGGTAATTCTGAGGCAGACAGGTTAGCAATGATATGCACAACAGTGACATTAGTAATAACAGCTTCCTTGAACAGAGGGTTTCCTTGGAACTAGTCCCTTGCCCTGTGCTGGATAGGCCTGGTGTTACGGATCCTCAGAGCTGTAAGGTGGGTGCCTGCACTCTCATCTTCTTACAGATGGGGATATTGAGGCTGGTCTGAAGTTGCACAGCTCTGGGGGATGGCCTGATATTTGAACCAGATTTTAGACATTAGAATAGCCTTCCAGTTAGATTCTGAGGACACCTTTGCTCCTCTCCTAGAGTGCTAGGCTGGTTAACCCCTTAAGAGCCGCAGCAAGGGGAGCCATGTTAGTCACTTGCCTGGATCCATACAAATGCCTCCTGCTAGGGCTTCCTGCTTCCCCTTGCTGTCTGCAATCCACCCAGCGCTGGAGGGATCTTCTAAAAACTTAAATCAGATCTGTCTCTACTCTTTTTAAAATCCTGCATGTTGCTCAGAGTAAAATCAGAGTCCTCACCACTGCCCAGGAAGTCCACCAGACCTCCTCACTTCCCTCTCTCCTCCTCCTCATTCCACTCCAGCCACCCCTGCCTCTTCTTCACTGTTCATCAAGCACACCAGGCTCACTTCCCCTCAGGGCCTTTGCACTTGCTGTTCCCAAAGCACACAATGTTCTAGCCCTGATCTTTTTTTGGCAATCTCCCTGTGTTCAAATGTCACCTTTTTAGAGAGGTCACTCCGCCTCTCCCCCAAGCTACAGGAGTGGCCTCCACTCTCTCCCAGGAATCCTTAACCCTTTCTAAGAGCCCTGAGCCCTTTTCAGGATAAAATTTCTCAATGCATAGTTGTATCCATTGGATTATAAAGGACACCAATTATAAACACAACTGTTAAAAAACAAATTTCGACGACAGCAAAGAAGGTAAAATAATGACTTCAATACACTGTATAAAAATAAACACAGGTAGTTTTATTTAACTCACAACGTGTGCATTTAACTCTTGAAAGAACCAGGCAGATGCTTAGACAAGAGGGAAGGGAGAGGAAGAAAAATGAAAGGAGAGAAGCAAAGAAGGAAAGACGATGCCTGCGGGCTTGGCGACGGCTAAACTCTCCTCGAGGCCTGCGCACAGTTCCTGGCTCACGCCGGTTGTTTCTGCTTGGGCAGAGCCGGATTTTAGGCCTCGCTGGATTTTCTCCTCCTGCTTCTCACAAGCTCCAGTCCAACCGCAGCGCTCAGCCCCCACCCAGCTTTCTCCACCTTTCCCTCCTGTCCGCGAGGCCTCGCGCCTCAGCGCCCAGCGGTCTCCATGGCAACGGGGAGACGCTCTCCAGGGCCGAGGCCGCTCGGTGGGGTGGGGCGCAGGCAGAGGGCGGGGCCGGGGCTGCACCTCTACCTCGGAATTTCAGGGCTGTGGATCCATGAGAATCTGAGAGCCAGGCTGGGCAAGGGCGTGTGAGAGCTCCCAGGGAATTCCACCAGGCAGCCAGGATTGGGAACCGCTGCCCTAGGGTCCCAGTCGGGGCTGAGATGTCTTTTAAAGGGCTGGCCTCCTCGGGTATGTAAGGAGTAAGAGGGGTGGTGCTGGGGTGAGCCAGGCTACCCAACTCCAAATACCTCCTCACCTTGTCCCCCAATAGCCTCCTCTTCCTGTCACACCACCATGGGGCTTGGGATGGTGGACCCAGAAAGTCCCCACCGGTTGTAGGGTGGCACCTCTAAGTCTGTGTTCCAGTTTTTCCTTGGTGACAGTTAGGGGCAGGGCAGCTGGACCTGTCCAGATAAAGGCTGGTTTGGAGACAAAAGTCGGGTTTTCTGGGCTCCTCCCTGAAATCCTGGCATGCCTGAAATCACAGCCCAGAGACATTAATGGCTGCACTTGGGGACTGGGCCTTGTAGACCCCCCGGGAAACCCCCTTGGACTGAACAGAATACTGGAAGTCTTGTGCCGTCTCAGATTGTCCCAGGGGCCTCCCGCCTCCTGGGCCATGCTGGATGCTCACGCCTGGGACTCTGGGGACAGGAGGGACAGACTGAGAGTCAGCAAGGGGGAGAGATTTGCCCAAAGTCTCTCAGTCTCTCTGGTTGTCTCTCATCATCTCCTTTCCTTCCAGCCCAAACAGGCCAGCCCCTCTTGGTCATGAGGCTACTGTTCTCCCAGAGGGGCAACAGCCACGGGCAGTGCCACCTCCAACCTGGCACCGCGTGCTCTCTGGCCACTCAGGGCCCCACCCAGCCTGGTTATTCCCTTGCCCCCTGAAAAGTCCATCCCCACTGTGGGGACCCACACCTTGTCTTCCTTCCAAACCCCAAGGGGCTCTGAGCTATGAGTACATCAAGCACAAAAGGGCTCTTAGCATCTTACAGCAGAAAGCTGCAGCAGTGACGGCTTCCAGGGCAGGGGAGGGAGGGAGACAATTCTTTGACTCACAGAGGAAACTGAGAAACAGCCCAGGACTGCAGCTAGGGTCAGGACAGAGCTGGCCCTCCCTCCTCCCTCCCCCACCAACACCTTTCCTCCTGCCTTCGGGGAGGCTGGGGTGTGTGGGAGCTGCCTGTTTTTCACTGGTGGAGGTGAGGTGGAAGACACAAGACAATACAGAAATGCTCCCTAGCTCTGGGCCTGAGCAACCCAGTCTCTCCCAATTATAAATGCCAGTCTCAGCACACTATACCCTACTGCACCACATCCCCCCAGTTCAGCCTGTTACTATTGCAATGACTTTTCAACATGCCCAGTGGCCAAGCTGCCCCAAGAGGTGTTCGGGGCTTGACCAAAACAGATTCCTGGGCTATACAGCCAGCTGTAGCAAATCCACAGCTCTGGGACGAAGAGTCCCAGAATCTGCCTTTTGGACACATTGCCCAGATGATTCTTCTGTACGTCGTAACCAAGGTGGGCGAAGTGTGTAAACCACAGGCCTCGGACCTTCTGAGCTGGCAGAACCCAGGGGCAAGGGAGGATCGCAAAGTGATGTAAACACAGGTCACCATCACGAAGGGTAAGAGCAGAGGGATATGGGCTGTGACAAAATCACCCCGAGCCTTGTTGAGTTGCCAAGTCAAAAGCCAAGAAGTAAATTTGTAAACATTTTTATTCTTATGTTGGCGTGTGCTCTCTTTTTAAGTTCAAGGAGGCGGTCAGTGTTGCGTGTGCAGGAGAAAGGGAGAAGGGAAAGGGGGAGAGGAAAACTGCTCCTCTGTCTCCCCTTTTCAAGCTGAACACCTAGATCTGCATTTTAGGAAGTTAAAATCATGGTGATGCGACCCCACTGCATGGATTTCTTTCTTTACATTCACTGGGTTACGAGAAAGAGTCTGTATGTAAAAAATCAATACATGAAAGATACAATTCAACAAGAAAGGGAAGAGGGGTGGTGGAGATGTGAGGGGCACCGCCTGACACGCACTCCAACTCCATTTCAAGCGTGGAGGCAGAAAGAGCATCTTCGTCCAAGTGTGAGAAGGAGGGATGCTCCCCGAGGCGCGGGTCGTTGGCTGCTCCGTGGTCCCCCTGCCCTCACCTCACAGCCGGTCTTCTTGCTCTTCCTGTTCCACTTCTGCTCTGGCCTCAGCCCTCAGCACCCTGAGGCTCCTGGCCTCGCCTGCCCTGGGGACTCTCTTGGGCAGGACTGGCAGCCGCGGAGCATGCCAGAAGGCTCTCCGGCGCTTGTGAAACCATGAAAAGCGTCCAGGAGTTTGGAACCTCACTGTCTTGACCTGTTTTCGGGCCCTAGCTCCTGGGGTTGCCCTGGTGGCCCCCCAGGCAGCCGAGGCTTCAGCTTCCTGGACAGCTGGGGCCTCTCCCCCCTGATCAGCTATGACCTCTGCCCCCTCAGATGCAGCCTCTGCTCCCTGGACAACTGGAGCCTCTGCCCTCTGATTATCCGCAGCCTCTGCCCTGTGGACAGCCCTGGCCTCTGCCCTCTGATCATCTGCAGCCTCTGTCCCCTGGTCATCTGCAGCCTCTGCCCTCTGATTATCTGCAGCCTCTGCCCCCTGGGCTGTGGGTGCTGCTTCCTCCTTTCTGTGACGCCTGAAGGAGGCCCAGTTGATCTTGGGCCTCCACCGTCTGGGGGAGGTCTCAGGCACCCGTCCATCTCCAGTGTTCCCCACATTACCCGCCCGGCTGACGCTGCCTGGCACCGATGGCCCATCCCTCTCCACCCTGGTAGAGGCCTGCTGGGCCTCGCCCACCCCAGGGCTGGACCTTGGTGCCCAACCCCTCACCCTCTGCTTCAGCTTGCCCCAGGACACCTGGCTGACATACTCTCGCCACCTGTCCGCCTTCGACAGCTGGGGCCTGGGGTTGTCCTCAAACATGGGCACTGGCAGGTTCACCCGGCGGCGGGCAGGTGGCGCGCTGGGCTGCTTCTCCCCTCGCCGGAGGAAGGCCTCTACCAGTTCCTCATCATCCTCGCTCTCCAGGTCACTGCCTAGGAATTTGCTGCCCAGATAGCTGACGGGCATTTTGCGCACTCTCTTGCCGCGCCTGGAGCCTTTGTGGCCCTTACTACCCTTGTGTCTGGAGGTCTCGAAGTCGCTGAATTCACTGTCGCTGGCATTGCTGCTGTCATAGGTGCCCACGACCAGCCTGGGGGGAGGGGTCACCAGCTGCGGGACTCTCCTCCTCACACGGGGCTCCTTGGACTTTTTGGGGGGCTGGGGTGGGTGCGGAGTGCTCTTCTCAATGATGCGGGCCACGTCTTCCAGAGTGCGGCCTTCTTCCTCCAGAAACTGGGCCAGGCGCTCCCGAAATTCCGCCTCCTTGGTGGCGGGCTTGGAAATGACCCTCCACACGCCTCCCGCCAGCCTGACCTCCCGGGGGATGAGCAGGTAGTCGACATCCTCCCCGATCTGAAGCATCCCCACCGTGGAGTCCTCCTCCCTGCGGAACACCTTGCCGATCTTCTTAAAGGTCCCCACGGGCTTCAAGGCTTCCACGAGGACGTCCAAATCCACATCTTTGCAGACATCTGGGATGCTCCAGAGGATCAGGCAGTCGGGGGATGGGAGGAAGCCCCAGGGAAACCAGCCCCCAACATGGCTTTTCTCGAGGGTCTTCAAGATCTCCAGGGTGAAATCTAGAGTGTGGGCAATGAGCCCAAACTACAAGTACCCTTGAGTCTTGGGGAGGCAGGTGGGGTTCCAGCAGTACTGCCCAGAGTCTCACCTCCCCAGAAACCCAGTTTCTCCGCCTGCAACAAGTCCAGTGTTGACCAAATCCGGCCCTCCCCCCAAGGTCTGGTGGGAATCGATTGCCCGGATGCTTACGTGAGCCGGGGTAAGGTCAGTCTGACGCTAAAAGCCCATGGCAAGCTGCAAACGTGGTGTCCGGGCTCCAGGCTGGGGCGTGCGGGTTGCCAGCACACAGCAGGGACGCGCCGGGAACTTGAGAGAGGACTTTGCAGACAAAGGCGCTTCAGCCGTGTCTTTTCAATATGGCCGAGGCGCTTGGAGGCCGCAGCCCAGTCCCCCAGGAGGGTCTCCCGCCCCCAGGCAGGCTGCCGCCCCAGTCCAGGCTGACCTTGACGCGCCTCCGCCTCCCAGCCCGCGCGCTCAGCGCCTCGGAGCTCGCGGGGGCAGGAAGTTCCTCCTCGCCCTCCCCCAGGGTGAGGCCCACCTTCCCCCTTCTCATCTTACACTCCCCAACTCCGAAGACTGACAGGGGGGCTGTCCACTCCCTTCAGGGCGCCCTCCCCCCGCCCACCCAGGGGTGGGGCCGCGCTCCGACCTTGCTGAGGCCCTTGCTTCCCAGCGGAAAGCCCGCACGCGCCCACGTCATCACCTTTCCCAGAGAAACGCAGACGTTCCCAAACCTGCCATCCCAAACGTGCGGTTTCCAGCCAAGCCACGGAGGTGAGCATGCTGATGGAGCAGGCAGTCCTTCAGAAAGCCACTGGCGCTATGTATTACCATTTTGAAACCATGGGGCTTTTGGTACCAGCAGTGCCCACCTATATACCTATACACGCGAATGGAGAAGCTGATACCAGGGGCTTGTTGCACGGACCCCTAGCATGGGGCTTGGCACCCAGTAGGTGCTCATTAAATATTTTTGAGTGAATGAATGACATGATTGTCCATCAGTGGTATGGTTCTTACAGTGAAATATTATGCAGCTATGAAAAATGTGGCTGCAGGATAGTCAAGTTTTATGGAGCACTTGGCATGAACTTAGAAAGCACCAGTCTAAGTGCTTTCTATGAATTAACTCATAATATCCTAACATTAGGAGACAGGAAATATGATGAGCATTCCCATTTTATAGCTGAGGATATGAAATCACTTGCTCAAGGTCACACAGTCAGGAAGTGATGGAATCTGGGAAACAGTGTGTTGTGTGTGTGTGTGTGTAGGCCAAAAGGACTACATGCATACATATACTCCTCACATATACAAGCACTACCAACAGTGGCTACTTCTGGGGAGTAAGTCTGGGAACTCCTAGAGGTGGCAGAGACATGTATTTTTCATTCTATTATCCTTTCAGATACTTAGATTTTTAGCAATCAAAGACGTTAGTTAAAATACACTAAATTAAGCCAAAGATCCACTGACTTGGCCATGGCAGACAGTGGGTCCAGATCTCTGGAACATGGGGACCAGGATTTGCCAAGCTTCCCAGGTAATTCTGAGGCAGACAGGTTAGCAATGATATGCACAACAGTGACATTAGTAATAACAGCTTCCTTGAACAGAGGGTTTCCTTGGAACTAGTCCCTTGCCCTGTGCTGGATAGGCCTGGTGTTACGGATCCTCAGAGCTGTAAGGTGGGTGCCTGCACTCTCATCTTCTTACAGATGGGGATATTGAGGCTGGTCTGAAGTTGCACAGCTCTGGGGGATGGCCTGATATTTGAACCAGATTTTAGACATTAGAATAGCCTTCCAGTTAGATTCTGAGGACACCTTTGCTCCTCTCCTAGAGTGCTAGGCTGGTTAACCCCTTAAGAGCCGCAGCAAGGGGAGCCATGTTAGTCACTTGCCTGGATCCATACAAATGCCTCCTGCTAGGGCTTCCTGCTTCCCCTTGCTGTCTGCAATCCACCCAGCGCTGGAGGGATCTTCTAAAAACTTAAATCAGATCTGTCTCTACTCTTTTTAAAATCCTGCATGTTGCTCAGAGTAAAATCAGAGTCCTCACCACTGCCCAGGAAGTCCACCAGACCTCCTCACTTCCCTCTCTCCTCCTCCTCATTCCACTCCAGCCACCCCTGCCTCTTCTTCACTGTTCATCAAGCACACCAGGCTCACTTCCCCTCAGGGCCTTTGCACTTGCTGTTCCCAAAGCACACAATGTTCTAGCCCTGATCTTTTTTTGGCAATCTCCCTGTGTTCAAATGTCACCTTTTTAGAGAGGTCACTCCGCCTCTCCCCCAAGCTACAGGAGTGGCCTCCACTCTCTCCCAGGAATCCTTAACCCTTTCTAAGAGCCCTGAGCCCTTTTCAGGATAAAATTTCTCAATGCATAGTTGTATCCATTGGATTATAAAGGACACCAATTATAAACACAACTGTTAAAAAACAAATTTCGACGACAGCAAAGAAGGTAAAATAATGACTTCAATACACTGTATAAAAATAAACACAGGTAGTTTTATTTAACTCACAACGTGTGCATTTAACTCTTGAAAGAACCAGGCAGATGCTTAGACAAGAGGGAAGGGAGAGGAAGAAAAATGAAAGGAGAGAAGCAAAGAAGGAAAGACGATGCCTGCGGGCTTGGCGACGGCTAAACTCTCCTCGAGGCCTGCGCACAGTTCCTGGCTCACGCCGGTTGTTTCTGCTTGGGCAGAGCCGGATTTTAGGCCTCGCTGGATTTTCTCCTCCTGCTTCTCACAAGCTCCAGTCCAACCGCAGCGCTCAGCCCCCACCCAGCTTTCTCCACCTTTCCCTCCTGTCCGCGAGGCCTCGCGCCTCAGCGCCCAGCGGTCTCCATGGCAACGGGGAGACGCTCTCCAGGGCCGAGGCCGCTCGGTGGGGTGGGGCGCAGGCAGAGGGCGGGGCCGGGGCTGCACCTCTCCTTGGCTTCTCTTCCCTGCCTGAAACCCCAAATCGGCTGCCCTGGAAAGCTGCTCTGTACAGCCCCGAAAATTAGAAAATCCTCAGGACACCCCTGTTCGAGGAATGCCGGTTTTAGAATCCAAGCCCGAGAAGTCAAGACTTCCAAGTGGGAATGACCTAGTATGGGAGACATCAGCTTTTTCTTTTGCAAGTGGTAAAACCTGGGGAGGGAGAGAGGAAGGGGAGGATTATCCTAGAAATGCAAACCTCAAATGTTCAACATTCTTTCAAAAATGCCAACCTCTGAGCAGTTCCACTGTGGGTGTTTCAGATTGCTCGGCAATCTGGCAGGCGAGATCCTTCTCCAGCCGCCCAGAAAAAATGATAATTATAGCTCCCACTTTTATACCGTTTAAAAGAAACGAAAAAAATAAAAAAGAATGGGGGAAGAAAACAAAACACGGCCCATATTTATCTACCCAGCCTCACTTGGTTGCCACTTAAAAAAAAAAATAGAAAAAGGTAACACACACACACGTCAAGAAAATGCTGAAGTTTACAGAAAGGTAAAACATGAAAAGCAAGTCTCCCTTGCCCCAGCCCAAAGCTTTCAGCCTCTACCCCCAAAGTAACCACAGTTAAATACCTCTGTACTTTTCCAGAAAAAAAAAAAGCTTCCATGTGCAGCTTTAGAATTTACCCCATGGAGATTTTTCACATCATCCTGAATTATTTTCATCACAGCACTTACCACTTCCTGGTATTTCCTTATTTATTTACTGTCTCACCCTCTCACCCTATTAGAATACCAGCCCACTGAGGGCAGGGATATTTGTCTGGTTTGTTCAACACAGAATTCTCAGAATCTGGTAGATGTGCAAAATATTTGTTGAATGAATGAGTGAGGAATTGCACTAGATCTTTTACTATAGAACTTGCATTTTTCACTTACTTGCATGTCTTGAGGTCTTTCCGTGTCAGTGCATGCGGATCAGTCTGTTTTATTTTTTCATGACAGCTTCCACCTTTATGTTTGTGCACAAGCTGGGAATGTGATTGTACTGGTAATAATTCACTTTCATTGAGCACCTATGTTGTCCCTGGCCCTGTGCATTTTCTCTTTGAATCCATACAACCCCACATAAGCAACTCTATTCTCATTTTGCAGATGAGAAAAACTGAGGCCAAGGAAGGCTGCACAGCTAGGAAGTGGCAGAGCTTTGAATCACTGTTTCCTTAGACGCCAGCCCTCTTAAGCCCTCTTTATTTGCTCAGTTGCCTGTGGCAGGTTGGGGTTGGGGAGCAAGGTCAGTGGGCAGTCCCCGAAGACTTCTCTCCCAGGAGACATTTGTGGCCTTAGCAGAGTCATAGATTTATCCTCAGTCTCAAATGTCCAGAAATCAGATCTAGACTGAACAAAATATAAATTATCCAAACTTCCAAACCAGATACCAAGGGGTTAATTGACAGCACAAGATAGGTCCTCAACAAATTCAGGAGGAAACTTTTGCGATCCACACTCGGACTACATAATTGGGTCACCTCTGTTTCCCAGTCTCTCCAGTCTAAGATCTGAAGGCTGTTTGGTGAATATGGAAGCAAAGTCAACAGTTAGAGCTGATGTATATTTGAGGAATTATTCATTCATTCATTCATTCATGTGGACCATCTCTCTGCAGTAGTGATTCTCAAATCTGGGGGCAGATTAGAATCACTGGGGAGAGTTTCAGAAATCATGGTTTCCTGAATCCAACCTACCAGATCAGAACGTCTTGGGGTGAAGGTGGGAAAATGCATTAAAAAAAAAAAAAGACCTCCCGAAGTGACTCTCACAGAGGGGATGGCTGGTGGGGGGCTGGGCAGAAGTAGGAGAGGAACTCAGTGTTCCCAGAGGATTGGCCAGCTGGAAATACCACAGGATTTGCAAAGAGCCAGATTGGAAATAAGGGTTCCTCCAATTTCAGCAACATAGAGGGCCCTTTAAAAGTGAGTGTGAGCGGGCTCTCAGGGATAGGCTGAATAATGGCTGCCCAAAGGTTACAAGTCCTAATCCTTGGCGTTTGAAAATATTAAATAATTGGAAAAAGGTTCTTATGGATGTAATTAAGGATTTTGAGATGAGATTACTGTGGATTATCTAGGTGGGACCTGTCATCAGGAGTGTCTTTTATAAGAGAAAAGCAGTGGGAGGTAATACAGGCCCGGGAGAAGATGTACACGATTTGGATCTGCAGCCTCCTCTCCATGCCGCCCCCACAAAAAGGGAAAAGACTGGAGGCAAGATCTATCTAGACTGGCACGAGGAGACTTATAGTTCTAATTTATATATATATTTATTTATTCCTGTGTTGGGGACGGCCTTAGTCTTCTCACATGTTTGTAGGCAGAATGGGAAAGCACCTTCCCCCAGGTCTGAACGCAGCACGGGAAAGCACCAGCCTGAGAACAGCCGGTGCCGTCCTTGGAAGTTATCTGCCCACAAAAACATATCTTGTCCTCGAAGACGAGCCAAGACGCCTCACTCTGAAAGTAGGGAGACCTTGAGGACGTGTGAAAACACCGCCCCTGCTTACCAGGCAGCTTCTAAGAAAATCAACAAGGTGCTCTGGCCTGTCCCCCCTGAGAAGGGAAAGATGAGTATAGCACTTGGCTGAGCTCCGAGAAAGGCAGTACAAAAATAAAGGTGCTGCGCCACATCGGGGCTGCAGCCATTGTCTGTCTGTGTTGTCTGTGTTTTTTGTTCTCTCATTTCACCCAAAGAAGATGAGCGGCATGTTACATCTGGCGCCCAACGTGGGGCGTCCTCTCAGAGTGAGTTGTACATATATTCAGCTCCACGCTTCCCCTTCAGACTGTTCGACTTCGATGGCAGGCACCGTCATTCCTGTTAATGTCAATATCCTGCATTTCCCTACAGAATATGATGGGTCTGATTATGGCAACTCCCCCGCAAATCCTTCCCCCTGTGGCGTGAATCACACAGAATAAGATAAAGTCATTGTATCACTTTTCTAAAATCCAAAACTCTGAATTCTGAACCACATCTGGCTCAAGGGTTTTGGATAAGGAGTTGTGGACCCTTAGTGCCACACGTTGAGGGCTGGGAAGATAATATAAATTGATGAGGATGAAGAACTTAGCACAGTGCCTGGAACACAGGATAGCTGTTCTTTTTTTGTTTGTTTGTTATCCCAGAGAAACTGTTTCATCTTTCCAGTCAACCATTTGGAAGCCCACAGGATAGAAGAAAGCTGTGTATTTTGTGTTCTCCTGGTCAGGAGATCTGATAACATCCTTTTTAAAAACAATGAAGTCCTGGAAAACTTCAGGCAAACCATGGAAGTGGTTTTCAAAACGTTTTTTAGCAGACAGATTATCCAAATTAAATCTACTGTGGATCCCCCAACACATCAAAGAGCAGACTGTGATCACATTAGCATATTTTTATTTTATAAGTTCACATTTGTACAATATAACATCAACCACAAAGAACGATGAAGAGTTTTAATAGAACGCAGTTTTAAAATTGGGGGCTTCCAAAAGGGGTTTACAACTGCAGCCCTCCAGCAGACAACAATTTACTCGGGAATTTTTCTCTCAGGACTAGCTGTGTGCCAGCCATGCCTTGACTCATATAGATAAACAGCTTCAAAGGGTAATAGTTTGCAAAACGCCCTGCATTGCAATCTTAGGAAACTCTTCCAGGAAAACCCAAGAAATGGTAGCAGATCTGGGTCTTACGGGCAACACGAAACAATCACGCTTGTTGTGTTTCACAAATATGAACGCTGTATGGGAAACATGCCAAATGCACAATCAGCACAAATATAGTCTTGGTATCACAGTATGATGGTAAGAAATGTCACACTTGTTCCTTGATATTTTACAATGATTATGCCTTGCTGGGAGAACAGCGTGCAACAGACAGATGTGCTGAGGTTCCTGTAGCTTTTCTTCGAGCCCAGACTCTGAGGAAACAATAAACACAGTACTACAGTATCCTGTGAGTGGGTATGCTCAGGCTGGAAATTTATATGGAATAAAAAGATCAATAGAGAGCTAGAAACTTCTAGACTATGGAAGCACTTGAAGAAGGTCAAGAGTATATGTGGGGAAGGCAGGAAGCGTTTTTTTCCAACCATCGTTCAAAAGAAAAGGCTGTTGAGAGTGATGGTACAAAGTCAGCTTGGGGAATGGACAGAAATCAGAGTCTTCCGGGTGTAAGGCTGTCAGCACAAGTGAACTCTAAAAATTCCTTCCGTCTTGACACCTGAGGGGAATGCAATGACCTAACAGGAGTTTCTGACTACTTGGGGGTGGAACCCTTGTCAGCACTCTGGCTGCCAAAGTGGAAGTGTAGAGAGAGAATCTCCACCTTCTGGCTCTGCTAAGAGGGCAAAGTGGGGTAGCCTGGCAGAAATAAGAAAGAGGGTCAGATGCTGGGATTCACAGACATGGCTGATGCCCACCACATTAATACATTGAGGGTCTCCACTATTACAATTTGGTAGGTAAGAATCTGAGCTTGTGTGTGTGTGTAAATTGCATTTTTAAAAAGAAATACAGCTCAGCCTTTGCAATCCCTAAACCTAAAGCAAGTTTGCAAATTCACAGGTCAGGTTTCCCTGGAACAGAGCTCTGTCTACTTACGGACATTTGGATTTTACCAGATTGTCTTTTTGTCATCATCGTTGTTCTTCACCATCACAGAGGACTCAGTGTTCAGGTTGTTAATCTAAACTTTTCAAGGTGACTTAGTTATTTACCTTGGGATCATTCTCTGGAAGACTTGCCTTTCATTCTTTAGAGAGTGGAGCACACATCTCCCCACAAGTCAGGACTTCTGGGATTTAAGTGGGGACACCCATTCTGTCACCCCAGATGCCAATCAGAGCAGAAGGGTCCCACCTCTGACCATCCCTGAAACGGAGACCCAGCATGTAGAGGGCAGTGACAGCCTTTTACAGAGCCATACACAGAACTGTGAGTTCCTCAGACGTGGAGTGCAGCTACTCACTTTGTAGGCATGGCTTCTACTTGCAAAACTAGGTACAAAACAGGGTGGTCCATCCGGACAAGTTTGTGCAGAGATACATTCACAGTACATCTTTTTGAAGGACAAAAATCGGCCCTAGACTTTGCATTCACAGGAATCCCAACAGGGCCCAAACCTAGAGGGGTCTGTGTCTCCTCCCCACAACAAACCCAGCAAGACCGCCATCCCCACCATTAGGCCGCGGGGGATGGTAAAGGGGATAGTCGCCTTTCTGCCGATCAGGAATCTCCTGGCACGTTCTTCCTGTTTGGCTTTTCCTCAACTGTGGTAAGAAAACTTCTGCAAAACCTTGGAATACCGGACCCTCTTCCCCGATTCCCTCAAACACCTGCTCACGTAGGCTCGGGGTAGCCCGCGGTCTCCATCGCAACAGACTGACGCCCTACTCGGCTCTGACTGCGACTGCGTGGTAGGTCCCACGGGCTCTCCAGGTGAGAGAGGCTGTTTGCGGGTCTCTGAGACACTTCCTCACTCAGACATCACCCTCGCCTCTCAAATAATGCCCACAAACATACTCAGGTGTTACCCTCACACTCTCAAATGGTATCCACGCTCACTCATGTGTTCAAGTAACTTGGATGTTACCCACACTTACTCAAATATATGATGTGAGTGCCCCGAGGGCCAGGTTTGGGTCTGTTTCTTCCGTGCTGTATCCCCAGTGCCTGGAACAGTTTGCAGGATTATAGGAAAAGTTTGTTGATTGAATGAATGAGTGATCCATCCTCAACCAGATATTAAATCTACTGAAATGGTACCCTCACATATACCTACACATGTCCATTCACATGTACCCAAGTAACTCAACTATTAACCACTCACTTATGAGTGCCATGGAAGGGATTTGTGTTGGATTTACTCCCTTCTGTGTCCCCAGCTCCTAGAATAGTAGGATATAGTAGTTGCCCAATAAATATCTGCAGAATGAATGAATGAATGACCTACACTCAACCAGATATTAATTAATCACAGCCACTCAGATGTAGCCCACAAATTAACTCAGATAAAAATACCCACCCTCACCCACACCAGATGGTACCCATTCGTATTCAGTCACCACACACATGAGTAATACCATCCCTGCTCACATTATCCACACCCACCTGCATTCTCCAAATTTCCTTAAAGGGCACCCACTCTCCCGCAGTCATCATCCACACCCACTCAGATAACACCCACCGTCACCCTGCCACCCGCACGCCCACCTGAAGCACCTCACGGCTTCTTGTCCACTGCGTGATGCCGGCGGCGGGTTTTCTTGTGCTTCCTCCTGCCCCTCTTGCCCTCTCCAGCCTTGCTCTGCTTCTCTGTGGAGCCCAGAGGTGGCACCCTGTCCCCCACGGCGGCGGCCCCAGCGCCGGGCTTCTCCCTGGGCCCGGGCACACAGCACTCTGTGGCAGGCAGCTCCCTGGGGCCCGTCGCTGCCGGGCGCAGTTCCTGCCTCAGGACCCGAGCCACGTCCTCCACCGTCCTGCCCTCGCTCTGCAGGAAGAGGTTCAGCTTGGTCAGGAATTCAACGTCTTGTTTCCGGGGCATGTAGACCACTCTCCACACGCCGCCCTTGCCCTTGATCTCCCTGGGGATCACGGCATGATTGATGTCCTCCACCAGCCTAATGATAGCTGCCTCGGATCTCTCTTCTTCCAAAAAGGCCTTCCCAGCCACTTCGAACTTGCCCAGAGGTTTTAGGGGGACCCGTATGATCTCTTCGAACTCCTCGTGGCTACAGTCCTCCGGTATGCCCAGAATCATCAGGGACCTGTAACTGTCCACCTCGAGGGCCTTGCACCCGTGCTCCAACAGTGCGATGTCCTTTATGCCAAACAGCATCTTGCCCAGCTCCCTGAGGCAGCAGTATGCCCGCTGGCGCACACCTGAGCTGCCTCGGGAATCCAAAGAATTATCCAGGATGCCACGAACCCTTCCCAAAGGCTCAGTAAGTAGAGGGCCTCACGGGCGCAATTTGTTCGCCCCAGTCAAGGAGGGCCCAGGCCCTGCCCGCAGGGCTGCAGTACCCAGCCTTCCTGAGAGGGCTCTCGGGAATTCCCGGGACTTGCAAGGAGTGAGGCAGGGGTGGGTGTCTGCCGGCGGTCTCGTGGCTCCCCAGACCACACCAGAGAGGCTCTGAAGATGCTGCTTTCCCTTTCCTGGCGGTGGCCTCCGAAGGACTCGCAGGTCCTGGCAGGCTCCGCAGATCTGGGCCTGCTGGTCTCCCTGCGGCTGCCGCCAGCGAGGTGTCGTGGGTGGGGGCCCGGCAAGGCAAGGAGGCTGGCCCCGCACCGCTGGCCCCGCACCGCTGGCCCAGAGGCTGCCCTCAGTGCCCTGGAGCCCGGCTAAGGCGAGGATGTGGCCGCTGCACTTGCTCCCGCAATGACGTCACCGCCCCCTTGCGTTCTGCGGCCCGACGGTCTCCATGGCAACTGCTAGAGCATCGCCTCTGCCATTGGCCCGGCCCAGCCGCATTGAAATCAGAGTCCGAGGGGGGTCATTCAAGGGTGAGGAGTTAGCCACCCGCCCTCAGAAGTACCCTCCCTTCTCCTTTGAGAAAATGGCTGATCCCGGGGGAGGGAGACAGGGAACATACAAGATAAGCCTGGAACATCGTTTTGGTCCGAAAGAAGGAAATGCCCAAAGAATGATGAGAACAGGTGGAAGGACACAGAGCCAGCCTGAAGGGCTCCCACTAGCCACACCTCGGACAATCTGAGCATCAACGTTAAAAATGAGACTAAAAGATCAGAAACCCTTGAATAAAATAAGAATCCGTGAGTCTATATCGATATAAGTAAATGTAGAAAGTTTGATGGAGGAATGTGAGCTTTTACGTTGTCTCGCATAAAACTTATGACTCAGAGGGAACAAAAGTATCTTGACCGTGGAATGTCCTCGGCCGGAGGACATACCCACTACAGTATTCAGGCATGATAGGGCACCAGATGTGCAATTTACTCTGAAAATGGTTTAGGGGGGGGGAATGTTTTTTGTGCCATACTTGCAACTTTCCTATGAGTTTGTGATTGTTTCAAATATATTTTTAAAAGAAAAAAGGAAATGTGATCACCTTTGCAATGTCCATTTCTCCTCTCCCTATCCCAGTAAGAAGAGCCATAAAGTGGGAGTTGGATCAACACCCTCCAAACTCCCAGCTCCAGGGAAAGGTACAGAGTGGCTTGAACAATCAGCACAGCTCTGCTCAGGCCCCAGGTGCTGCAGTGGTCCCTGCGTGTCATCACCGATCGGCTGTCTCGCCTTGTTGGCTTGGGAAAAACCGAACTCATAGATGCAGAGAACAGATCAGCTGCCAGAGGCGGGGAATGGGGACACAATGGGGGAAATGGGTGAGGGTAGTTAAAAGATACAAACTTCCAGTTACAAGATAAGTCCTGTAGATGGAATGCACAGCATGGTGACTACAGTTAATAATACTGTATTGTGTATTTTTAAGTTGCTGAGAGAGTAGATCTTAAAAGTCTTAATCACAAGAAAAAAATATTTTGTAACTGTGTAGTGATGGATGTTAAAAAAATTTGCTATGAATTTATGAATCCCTGGGGCTCTACTGCATATGCCTGGGCTTATGCATATTCCAAATTGAAAAGCAGGCAACAGAATGGTTCATTTATTTGATCCAGGAATATTGACTGAGAAGTTTCCTTGACTTCTAGGCAACGTGCTGGGCATAGCTGAGTGAGTGAGACAGGCTCTGCTTTTAGGAGCTTGGTCTGGTGGTTAGGACAGGCTAGGTCAGCCTGTTTACTGTCAGGCGGAGAAGCCCGTAATTACCACAAAGATGTGTTCTGATCCCTAGAGTGGGGAGTAGAATACAGACTATACTAATTGGGACATGTTTTTCCACAGTTTAAGGAGAGAACTGCAGAAAGTGCTTTGGAGGCCCCTGAGCAATTAAACCTGCCTGGTCTCATCTGGGAAGGCTTCCTGGAGGAGGTGATACTGGAGGCTATCTTAAAGAATCCATATAATAACTATAACAATAACACTATTTTTTAAAGTAGTCATTGCTATCACTTACACAGGGCATGTGATATGCCAGACAATATTCTAAGCCCTCTTTCTGTACTGCCATTTAATTTTACGATATATAGCCCATGAGTTAGCTATTGTTTGATTGATTCAGTTGCTCATTCATTGAACAAATATTTGTTGAACAGCTCCTGTATTTTATAGTAAGGAAAGTGAGGATCAGAAAGATTAAATTACCTGTGCAGAGTCACAAAGCTAGTGAATTTTTTAAAAATTTAATTTAATATTTTTTATGAATATTTTTGCTGTTGTTAAGTTGTATATAGTTAAATATTTTAAAATTACAAATCAACTGATAAGCTGTTGAGTAAAGAATCCTATAGTCTCTTACCATGCATGATATTTCTTACAGACCTCAATCCATTGATGGATGAATGAATAAACAAAACGTGGTCTAGCCATGTGATAGACTACTATTCAGCCACAAAAGGAATGATGTTTTACACATGCCACAACGTGGATGAATTGAAGCCATGCTAAGTCAAAGAAGCCAGACACAGAAGACCACACAGTGTATGTGATTCCATTTACATTAAATATCCAAGAAGAACAGGTAAATCCCGGGGGTAGAAAGCTATTGGTGGTCACCAGGGACTGATGGAGGAGGAAATCGGGGTGACTGCTTAATGTGGACAGGATTTCTTCTGGGATCAGTAAAAATTCTTGAAACTAGACAGAGGTGATGGTCACACAACATTGTAAATGTACTAAATGCCGCTTAGGTACACTTTAAAATGTTTAATTTTATATTATGTAAATTTCACTTCAATAAAAATAATTTTTTTTAATGACTCCAGTTTTGGTTGGAATGGTGAGAAACAAGCTGGGAGATCAGGAACTCCATTTTTGGAGGTCTTTGACTTGATAGGCTTAGCAGAAATCCAGAGAGGGTCAGATGAGCCTGCAGTTCAGGGGGAGATGGGGTGGAGACGTCAGCTGAGGAGTCATGGCACAGGGAGGGATTTTAAATGCTGGGGCCGGCTGAGATCATCTAGACAGAGGATGTGGGAGAGAGGAAATGAAGGGCCCCACGAGCAAGCCCTGGGGCCTCAGAGTGGGTCACTGGCAGGCAGAAGAGGTGGAAACAAGAAGCCTCTTTGCACAAGAGGGGAGGGCAGTGGGCAGGGGAACCCCAAGGGTGTGTGTTTGCAAAACAAAGAGAGTAACAGCAAAGATTGGATTAGACCAAATATCCATTTATAGAGGCTTGTTCAACAAATTGTGAGGCATCCTTATAACAGACACATTCAATGAAGTTTTCTCTCTGCCGACATGGCAGGATTTGTCTTTTGCGAAACGCTATGCTGGTGGACGCATGACTTAATAAGGCAAGGTGATGACGCTGTTGCCATCCTTACAGAAGGAAAAGTAAGCAGTGACTCACAGGAGAGGAACCAGTAGATACCACTTTAATTGAAAGACCAAGTGAACTCTCCAGCAATGGGACACACTGAAATCAGGCCTCCCGCCACACCCAGTGGGGAGGACAGGGCACCGCTTCTGGGGACCTCCTGCCGAAGCACAGGCCCTGAATCTAATCATGAGACACCCGGCAAAGCTGTGTGCAGCCTCTGCGCATCAAAGGGTCAGGCTCTCAGAAGTCAGGGAAAGACAGGGAAGTCTCCAGAGGGAAAGAGATGAGAAATGTACAAGGATTACGCAACTACTTGTGCCACATTGAATCTGGGCTGGAAAAAATTAGTTCCTGCAAAGGGCTTGAGTGGGGCTACTGACAGTATCAAACATGGACTGTGGGTTAGATAATCACATGGTGGTTATGTGGGATTTCCTGATTTTGATAACCGTCTGGGTTGTGTAAGAGAATGTCCTTATTTTTAGGAAGTAAACACTGACATACTTAGGGGTGCAGGAGCCTGATGTAGGCAACTTACTCTCAAATGGTTCAGGAAAAAAAAATACACACATATTAGAGAGAGAGAATGACAGAGAGAGAAAGACTATGGGGTGGGGTTGTGTCAGTTTCCTAGGGCTGCCAGACCAAAGTTCCACAAACGTGATGGCTCAAAACAACAGAAATGCATTCTCTCACAGTTCTGGAGGCCAGAAGTCTCAATCATGGTGTGAGTAGGGCCTTGTGGTCCCTGAAGCCTCGAAGGGAATCCTTTCTGGCCTCTTCCAGCCTCTGGTGCTTTGCTGACAATATTGGATGCTCCCGGGAACCAGTCTCGGCCTCTGTCATCACACAGCTGTCTTCTTATAAGGGCACCAGTCATGTTGGATTAGGGGCCACGCTACTCCAGTGGGACCTCGTCTTAAGTAATTACATCTTCAACAACCCTATTTCCAAACAGGTCACATTCTGAGGTACTGGGGGGTAGGACTTCAACATTTCTTTCTGGGGAGAGATACAGCCCACAACAGAGGGAGAAACAAAGAGAGAGAGGAGAGGGAGAGGGAAAGACGAGGGATGAGAAAGCCAGTGAGGCACAATGGTACAGTGTGCAGGAGTTCTTGGTCCTCATGTTGCAAGGTGGCTGTAAGTTTGACATTATTTCAAAATAAGAAGTTATAGCACAGAGAGCTGAGGGTTTGAGGGTTCAGGAAGCAGACAGATGAGGGAGGAGAAACCACTTTGTTGGGTTTAGAAGATGGAGGCCTGGTCTGACAGGTGGGGACAGAAATCAACCCACAGAGGGTGAAAGAGTGAGCAGAACGCATGTCCGTGGGAACCTGAGGATGGCTCTTCTCTAAAGGTGTTTTGTTGTAAAGAGGAAGAGAGAAATGGGGTGGAGGTGGGGCCAGGGAGGGCTTCTAAATACCAAGAAATGATGCAACAGAGATGGTGACATGGACCAGGTTCAGGACAGGTGGAGCTCTTCCCTGGGAAGGCAGGTGGGGCCCCAGGGCAGGGAAGGAACTGGCTTTTGGTGGACTCATCCTTCAAAGACAGGGAAAAGGGCAAGAGTATGTTGGCAAATGCAGATTTCATGGCAGGATGCTAAAGAAGCAAAGAGTTTGATTCTATTCTATTCTAATTTAATTTTTTAACGAAAATGTATATAGTGCTTACAGGCCAGACACCATTCTAAGCACTTAGCAAATATAACTCATTTTGTCTGCATAGCAATCCTCTTAAGTAGGACTATTTCATCCCCATTGTACAGAGGAGAAAACTGAGGCACAGAGAGGGGAAGCGCCTTACCCAAAGTCACACAGCTGGTAAGAGGCCAGGCCTCTTGAAGTCGGCAGTCAGGCTACAGAATCCAACTCTTAAACTCTACCCTATAATACTAGTCTGGGCTCTCCACCCAGTGGCCTCTGTTCTTACTAAAGGAAGATGAGTGATCACAGTGGGGATTTGGGCTGGGCAGGGG